AAAACGTCCCCAATTTAAGCCAGCCTGTAAAACAAAACAAATCTAAACCAGATCATCATTGGGTCTACTATTCTCAACACACATGGATTTTAAGACTTCATGGAAGTATGGAAGGGAGTTTATTTCAATTGTTGATCACTCCCTAGAGATCAAGCTTGCCGAACTTTACCTCCTTATAGAGAGAAGTGGGCTGGAGAAAGGGGGAGGGTCCAGTTTGGGGAAGGTAGAGTGTTAAGATCTATTGAAACCGAGAAAAGCACCTCTGAAGTAAAAGTCTAAGAATTTTTTTTTTTTTTAAAGAATATGTGATTAATTCACTCATCTAAGTGGGGAAAATCAGTTATACACTCCATAAAGGATGCCTACGTAGAATGGCCATTGAATTTGAGAGGCTAAGAAGACTTGAATCTTGAACTTTAAAAGCCTGGGTTGTGATAAAAATTTAAAGATTTTTAAAATACAGGTCCCTACCCCAGAGTTCCATGGAAAGTTTGCTGTTTATATAAAAATAAATCGTGAATTAAAGCAAGCACAGTGAAGGAAGAAATTTGTTGAAATGGGAATTTGGAGAATCTATCCCAAGGTATGCCCTCCACGGTGGGACACCCACAGGGACATAAAGGGCTGAAGAAAGGCAGCTCTCGCCCTGGAGAGAGCAGGCACGTCACGGATGTACCAGGCCAGGGTTGTGTTTTCAGACGTGCCTGAACCCATGCAGGGCGTTTTGTGGATTCTCTGTGCACTTGTTCACACGGCAGTGCGGGGCACGGGGACACGTGGGCAGCGGCTGTGAGTCACCGTCACCTGTGCTCACTCAGGAAAGTCTGCCGTGAGAGCCAGTGTCAGCAGAGGGGCTGAAAATCTAGGGGCTGAAAATCTTGGCGCTAACAGCGGGGTGTTCTCCTGGACGTTTGCTGCCCCGCCCGCCGAGGGCGAGGGCAGTGGGGAGACCTGGGCAGCTGTGTCGGGACGGGATCCGGAAGGCTGGACGGTAACTATGCGGAAATTTTAGGAACACTTTAACCAATGCGTTTCACTTATGTTTTACTTTTTATGTTTGTACAAGTGTGAAAGATGATAAAAAAATATGTGTCTAAGTCTAAAACTGTTCTTTTGGTAAGTACAGAATAAGAATTCTAGGTGATAAGAAAGCCGTAAGTTATGGTTTCCGAATCACTGTATTTTCTTTCTTAGTGGTAAATAAAAATAAAAAATTGTAAGTTGCTTTACAATTTATGGTATCTCACATACAAGGAGACAGAACTGTGTTTCGACATTGCCTTGACTGTCTTGAGAAGTGAGGTAAAAAGATAGAAGAGCCGAGATGGAGTACAGACCAAGAAGGACACTGTCCACTCTGCAGCCCGCCCCAGACTGGAAGGAAGCAGATAGTAACAGGTTCCATGAGTTCTGACCAACAGGACAGGAACACAATGTCGTGAGCTTCCCTCCAGGGCAGCGCATCCCATGATGGAACACTTGACTCAAATCAATTCCATGGATGGCCTTGGTGTTCAATCTTAGTCTGGCTCTGTTGCTTAGTCTGAAATCCAACTTAACTTCTGCTTTGTACATTAAAGAGCAAAGCTGGGTTCATGTGCATACTTTCTCAGAGGGAAAACTTAAGGGAGGAAAACTTTTCCAAATATGAAGGCTGAAGCAGATGCATTAGGTAGAGAAACAGCATCTTTGGCGGTTCTGAAGAGCAAGTTGACTTCTCATCAGATAGTCATTCTCTGAGAAGGTCTTCGACGTCAAATTGTAAAATGGTGCCTTTACCGCACCGCCAGTCACTTACTGTACACGTTCTCTTCCAGTGGGTTTATCTCCAGGGTCTTTTTGTGCCTGTTGATTGAACGGTCAACCCTGCACACATTCTGCCTTCTAGATCTGATTGACAGGATCTCAGGGAGGTGTTCCAGAGAGGATCCTGCTCCCAGCCCTGCCTCATTCCGTCTGAGATTCCGGGCAATTCAACGAGAGAGAATACCATTCCAACTTTCTAGTGTAACTTCCATTTTGTGGAAAGCTATTTTCATTTTGGCACATTAACTAGCACAATATGAAAATGAAAAATCCTAAAGGGAATATGAAAATCTGTATACCCTCCAGCTGATTCTTCAAAGTTCATTTTCAAAATGTACTTGTTTTGAGATTCACTGCAATAGAAAAACTGTATTTACCAAACCACGTAGCACATTCCCAGACAGACACAATACCACTAAATCAGTCCCTTTAATGCTGGCACGTGCCTTACTTGAGAGTTTGGTTTTGAGGACTGTTCTGCTCTCCTCACCGATAATATACTTTTTGGTCTAGTAACAGCTGGCAAATTTTAGTTACCTTATCTAATCACAGCAGAAGCAAACTGTGCGCACTACTAGTGAGACCACGCTTCCCAGCCTGCCTGGCAACTGGGTGCAGACTTGCAAGTATACACTGGCCAATAGGATCTAGGCAAGAGTGATGCACTCATTTCCAGCCCCCGCCGATTTCTTTCTTGGTGGATGATGCATGCCAAAGCTAGGGACAACTCTGGGGCTTAAGGGAGGGTGAGTAATAGAAGAAGAGGCCCGGGTCCTTGCAAGATGAGGAGGAGAGCAACTGCACAGCCCAAACCTACTCCTGTGCCAAGGGAGAAACACCAACTTCTTCTCCGTTCAACTGCTGGAAAGTTGGGACTGTTTGTTTTAGCAACTGGCGTTCCTTAACCTGGTTAGTAACGATAACATACTATTTAGAGAAGCCTGAGGAGCTCCACAAGATATTACACAATATAGACCTTTGCAATGTGGGAAAACACGAATGAAGAGCATCTGCACATTTGTCCCCCCCCCCCCCCGCCCCCCGGAAGTATTTTCGTGCCTTATGTTCCATGCACTGGAATAAGTTCAGGAGATGCGATAAGTTCAGTAGACACAGCTACAGCTGTTCTCATGGAGCTCACAGTCAGCTCACAGTTAACCAAGAGTTCACACACATCAACATAAAATTATAACCATGACGGTTCCTATGACACAGAGAATCATGATCCTATCAGTCAAAAACCCAGAGGCATCTGACTTAAGGGCACCCATGAAGAAGGACCCCATGTGGGGGGCACACAGGCAGTTATCAGGTACCAGTCAGATACAGGAAGTGAAATGCCAGGCCAGAGCTGGTGGAGCTGAGGGAGAGAAGGCCCGGGAAAGACAAGGAGGAGCACAGAACGGGATGTGGGGCCATGTCACCGTGACCTGGGCTAGAGCAAAGATTGGCTCTGCATTCAGGTCCTCAAGAACTAGCTTCACTTCTACCCTCTGGAGAAGGCTGCTTGGACCGCACTGAGGGGGACTGGGTGGGACATACTTACATGAAGACCTTGGGTGACATCGTGAGAGCCACCTGTGCACACATGGGAACCTCAGGAGAGGTTGGGATGATCTGTGCTTTGCCACGAGTTACCTTTACTTTTGTGCCAACTTCTTCCCTTACGTCATGGGTCACCTTGTGGTTCAACCTGGTGAATCTGAGACAGGGGACTTCTGCCTCAGGCCACCGAGAACCCAGGCCTGTGAAGTGCAGTGAGGCAGGAGGCTGCTTTGAGTGAGACTGTGTCATCAGTGGCCCAGGCACCCAAGCCCCTTTGGGAAGCCACAAGCCCCTTGTCCATCACAGCTCTGGGTGGTGCCCAGTCCCACAGGGTGAAGACCTCGGCAATGTCCCCTCTGATTGCCTGGTTTCTGGCTCTGGCCTCTCTGTCTCAGAGTCTCTCTCAACTCGCTAGAGAACCACATGTGCACGCCTCGGATCTTTTATATAGTTTCTCTCTGTGTCTAAGAAAACCATTGCTACAGAAGTTCATGAGCAATCGTCTTGAGGGCTGCCCCGTCCTTCTCCGGGCCCCAGTCTGTTTCTTGCCCTTGTAATTCGGGCTGTGGAGCCTGGAGGTCACACCCTCCCAGCCACATAAACATGAGAGCAGGCTCACACTGGCCCTCTCTCCTCGGTCCAAGGGGAAGACCGTGCGCTCCACCCTTGCCTTTCATGTTCGCCCCTCGCCTTTCCGGAGCAGACTGCTGAGGAGGCCCTGCTCTCCTGCTTCAAAGGCCACTTTGCCCTGGGAAAGCATGATCGGCTCCAGGTAGTGATTTTCAAGGAACATCTGTAGGCCTTCCAAGTTGGCCTGTTCATGTGGGGATGTTAACCTGTAAGTCACTTGACCAGTCAGTTTAGGAAGCAACAATTCTCTTCAAACTCCTATAATTACATTTGGACAAGTTTGCACGTAGGACCACGAGTCCATCAGCTTATTTTAACCATGGTGCATTTCACACACCATCTTCATTATCTTGTGCTGAAGAAGAGCGCGCACGCTCCTCTGTGGGTAATTTTAGATTGGCCACTGACACACTCTGCAGTGTTTATGAAGAAAACAAAACTTGGATGTTGGCCCTTTTAATTATAACTGGCAGAATCACTACACCCCAAATCACATAATCTCTTCACCATATTATATCTTTGAAGACATCTGCTTGCAAAGCAGTAACAAGGAACTTGAATTCTAAAAACAAACTTTGCACTAGATTGATTGGTTTGGCGAGCCGTGCTTCTTCGGCACTGACGGATTCTGCGAGAGATATTCCTGAACTTCAAGAAAAGTTTAAAATTCACTGTAACAGAGCTCTATCAATTTGTCCTTGGTCTGAACTAAGCCCCCCTTTCATCACTAAGGAAGTCCAGTTGCACATGGTCTGAACTAAGCCCCCATTTTATCACTAAGGAAGCCCAGAAGCCCAATGTCGCCTGGTATTTCTGCATTTTTGTTCTGCATCTTCCAAAGAAGCACCTAAGCAGTGAAGTCCAGCAACACCATTTCACCTGAGTGACCGTCACTGCATGCACACAGTGCACAGTCTGAGTATTTTATGCGACATTTTGAAGACTCCCGAGAGCCCCCAAACATCCTACCAAGAATGACAGCTGACCCGTGTCGTCTTGACTCCTTATCAAGCACTCACCTCTGGCCGGGCAACTCCAGCGTGATTCCCGACACCTGGGGGAAGATTATTTTCCAGCTCATGAAGTTCCTCCACATTCAGTACTGCAACCTGAAAGATTCGACACAAATATTATTGGTTATCTGTACTCTGCAGTTGTATGGAAATCTTTCCTTTAGTACGTAACTGGTTCATGGATATTTGAGTTTGCAGTTTGAAAATTCCTGATGCAAAAGTCTGAATCTCTTGCCAACATAAAACCCCTGCATCTTATGCAGTCATGTAATTCATAAGGTCCCACCCTCCTTCCACAGCTCTAGCCAAAGAGTCTGGTTTTCCTTCCCTCACACAGCATTTTCTGGAGCCCAGGACTAGTTGTTAAACACTAACAGGTCTTCAGATGGCTGCCGGAAAAACGAAAGAAGTCTCATTCTGCTGCCTAAGTTCAACTCAAGTGACCACAGACTTCGACATTCAGAATGGCTAACTGAACAAATATTTACGGCTCAGTTAGCAGGTTTACTTTAAGAACCTTTATCCAAAGTTACTTAGCTGGTGGTGATTGTTTGGGATCTTGGTTATATTTTAGATAAAGTGATCGTTCCCCTTTATGCTAAACATCACCTTTAGTAAGTACATTACCTAAAAAAATACACAATTGCATGTATCATTTTCTAAAGGTTGAAAGTACTCTAAGAATTTCACAGATGTTGACATTTGTTGCCAATCTGACACTAATTTTATTAGTCCACAATATTTTCCGAGAAGTGCAGAGAAACGGCTGTTCCCCTGGAGCACTGAACTCAGAGTGGCTGCAGGGGAGTCTTGGGTGCCAATTTCTCAGCCATAGGTTTGGATTGACTTCTTTCTCTCCAGCCTCCCCTCCTTGCAAATGCACAGGCTGAGAAACTTAATCATTTTGATGCACACTTAAACTTCTGGGTGTCTTCATATACGTAGCACAGACTCAGGAAACTTGAGAACCAGAAAACCGCTGATGATAGTGTGAAAGGAAAAGAAGTGGCGGCGGCACTAGGGATAATTTATTTGAACGGAGCCAGTTCAGTGTTTCCATTTTGTGCATTTATGGTGCAGTTATTCAATATGTTTTATTTATTCTTTTTTTGGTGGGTCATGCCAGGGAGACTTTGGCTGAGAAAAATGTGAACAGATTATGTAAGATAATTTAAGAAAAAAAGGAAACCGTCCATAAGAGTGTCACTTTAGAACTTCTGTTACCAGGGAGCAAGATGAGGATGCCTGGGGTCAGGTACACTTGGGTGAAGCCTTGGATTCTTAGGACTTCTGCACAACACAGTGGGACAAAAGAATAGCAGGAGCTTCTCACTAGCAGTACTCAGTAGCTTGTGCCAAGCCTTACTTTCTGCAGAGCGTGTGGCTTTATGCCCACAGAGACGTAGTCCCAGTTTTAAGTTCTGAGTGATTTTTATGCAAGTCTGTTTGCCAGAGCTGGTCCTCCAAGGTGTTTTCCTGGGCCAGGTGAAGTCTGCATCATCAAGAAAGGGTATGTGTGCACACTGCAAGATAGTTTGTCTTAAAGGCGGTGATGCTAACCCACAGAGTTCCTCCCAGGTTCGGAGGCTCTGGAAAAGCCTCTGACTTGGGCACAACACTTCATGCTGGGAAGGAACCAAGGCTGACTGCTCTCTGAGTCTCCTAGGACATATAAGATGTGATTTCTGCAGCACAATGGTACAAATAAAGCGATGTTTATTATTTTATTCAGAGCATTTAATTTTAGAGGGAGAAGGGTAGTCCAAGAGCAAAACAGCCATGAACCAGGGACAGGCTCCTCTGTCCTTCCTAAATGGATGCTCTGGACCAACTGGGAACACCCAGCTCCAGGATTCAGAACCCCATTTGGGGTTCACCAGATAATGGACCCTTGACCTATTTTTTCAAGCCATTTTCCTGCAGTCACTTGACACTTGATGGGATTACCTTTGGATTTTGGTCTGAGTTTCTGCTGCTGTGTCCTAGATTATCATCTTTTGATTTAAAGATAATAGACCCAATCACATGAAGCAGTTCTGTAAAGAGTCAACCTGTGACTCATAACCAAATACCAAAAAGAGATTTTGTCTCCAGTTTGCTTTCTTACCTCACTGTTGTTAACTGAAATGATCAAATGACCAGTTTCCATTATAAACGCCATATATTTATTGTATAAAAAAGCTCAGCGTTCTTCAGAGATGAAATACAATAGCATCATAAATCTCCTTGGCAATTCTTTTCCCCTTCAGACTCAAAGGATCTGCAGATTATAATTTTAACTCAAAAGTTTCAACACGGAAGATAACACAATTTTGCTTCAGCATAATATTGAACAATTAAAGACGAAGACACAAGCAGGTCAGACGTAGATAAAACCAAATTATGAGGCCATGGAATTGTTCACAGAACAAACAAAACATACCTTAGTGCTGGCCAGGCACTTGGGCATTCAAAATATACTTAGGAAGTTTCCAAACATGCAAATTCTAATTTTAAAATTAAGCCTTCCAATTGCCAATTTCAAAAAATGTAATGAGTTTAGAGTGGCCTTTTTATTATGCATGGTTTTATGTCTTTGGATTTCAAAATTACCTAGCATGCATTTTCAACTTTGCTACAATTTCCGGGCTGTTTTCATTTCTATTTAAAAAAGGCTAAACAGTAAGATGTGCCTCTGCTTTGCATTCTAATTGCACGTAACTGATTTGCACAGCAGAACAAAAAACTCATTTTCAGATTAAGAATCGTGCACCAAGAAATAATTACTCTACTAGAAAAAAATATTTTCCCACTTTCTCCCCTTGTTCCTCTGAACGGTTTGCCATGTTTCCCCCAGGTTGCTATCTTTTATAGACCACCATGCATTGCTCTTTAGGGACTAAAATAATGCAAATGGAAACAAGGAGCATACAACTGTTTTGACTACATTCTTCTGCTTGCAACATAACACTTGCCTTTTATTATTTTATCTTCAACAATCAAGGGGTGACTAAATGGTTGCAGGTGGCGATGAAAATAAAAGCCATCCATCATTATTTATTAGGCATGAAAAAGATACACAATAATGTAATTTAATCTCAGAGCAGACAATTATTTCCACATATTGATAATACAATGTGAAAACTGTCATGAATTCTAATATGATATTTTGGCTTTATTGGTGCACCACGGCCAGCGTGACAAATAATGAAATTGTATCAAAAAGAAAAAAAAAAAGGTAATTATGTGCATATGTCAATATCATGGGTAGAAAACACATCTCTAAATCTTTAAAGCTTCTTCATTAGAACTTGACCAATTCAAAAGTTTGAAGTGGGAAAAAAGTACATTTTCAGTTTTCCCTATTAAAGCAGAACTGTTCCTTTGGCACCTTGGTCTCTAATCTGAGTAAACAGTGGCTGTGCAGTGATTTATCATATAAAAGTTTTGAAGACCAGCTGTCTGCTGAAATATTTGCAAGAAGTATATATACACCAGAGGCTCAAATTTCTCACATGTTCTCTGGTTCACTTTAGTCTGGTAAAAATCCACAGATGAAAACCCTGTGATCTTTACTTCAGGGAGCATACACGTGACTATTAAATGCAGCAGAGAAACTACCTTTTAGCCAAATAAAGCAAATGGTTGAAAATAAACATCTTTGGTAGGAAAAATCCTGACTGATGAAATGCATGGTTAAAAAAAAAAAAAAAAGCAAAGTCTGGCTGGCGTTTCCTCTGACGGAGCCATCTCCGTTTCTCCTTGGTGGCCTAACTGTTTCTGGACAGGTCTCTGTGCATGCAAGTATGACAAAAGGGAACAGGATAGGATTTGATGCACTGCAACCAAAATCCCGTGGTGACTTCTGCTTGAAGTGGTTTTGGTTTTTGTGGAAAAGTGATCACAGTTAGAGGCCTCCCTAGCTGCGACTGCGACAGCGGTTTTCAAGGTACCTGTTTGCACCCCCCACACTCACACTCCTTCCACAGCATGCTCATGACTTCATGGGGACTAATTTATTCAAAGTTCACTTATAGATTAGAGATGTAAATACAGCCTTATTGGATAAGATAAATGATCTTCTCTTAGATAAATGCCTTTTAGAATTATTAAGGAAGGAAACTATTTTAGGCTTGGCTTCGAATGGCTGACAAGACCTGAAAGAAAAAGTGTCTCAGTGATCACAACACTGTGACCATTCTGAGCTGAGCGAGGGAATTTATACGTCATGTGGCTCCTCCATTTTATAAAGGGAACCTAAGAACAAGTGTAGGAGCTGCTTAGGAAAAACAAATGAAAGGAATAATTTAAAAAGTCAATAAGCCACAGGAAATCTGGAGACTGTTTAAAAACACCTTATTGGAAGCCCAGCAAAAGTATGTGCCAGAGATCAAAGGGACTCTTGGAAATGTGGCCCAACTAAGGAAACCAGGGAGATCCGCAGACTACGCAGGTCAGGTGTGAACAAGAATGTGGGCGAGCCAGGGAGCTCAAGGGCGCCTTGCAAGTGGCTCCAAGGCCAATAAAACCACTCTTCAGAACAAACCCACTCAGGAAGGCAAGGGAGCACTGAGAAACAGGATTCTTCTAGAAGGATGGAAGTCTTCTGACTTGGCCAAAGATGATTCATTCACCCATCTGTTCTTTCATTCAGTCACTCATTTCCATCACTTATTCAATCATCCATCCATCTACACATCCATTCATCTGTTTGTTCTTACATTTGATCATCTATGCATTAAAAAATAATTACAGAATGCCTGCCATGGCTATGGCCAGACGGGGAATCTTTTCATTCATTCAATCATCTATGTATTCAGCCATCCATTTCGTTATGGTAGAATGAGATCCTAATTCATTAAGTCATTCGACAACACTTGGGGGTTTGTCTGCTTGGTGGTGGCAGTTTTGTTTTGGGGTGCTGGGGACTACAGAATCCAGGGCTCTGTGCATACTATAGCAGCGCTCTACCACTGAGCTTCCCCTCGGCCTCTAACACCCGGATTTCTGCCATGTGCTGAGAACAGGTCTAATTCCTTGAAATTATTCAGTGAAAAAGGAGACACTGTTCCTGTTGGGATCTGGCTTCTTCCCATCAGGGAGGCCACACAGATGAT